CTATCCCATTCCTCCCGAACAGCTTTCCAGAGTCCTGTTAGGGTTTTGGTACAACATTTGGATAATGCAGTTTTTAAAAGTCCGAAAGCACAAAAATCCATAGGTGACACATCGGGAGATTTAGTAGGGATATCAGTGAAGGGTATCAGTTTTTTGTTCCATTTCTTTTAGGAAATTTACAGTGGATTTTGATGTGTCACTGCAAGCTTTGTTCTGATGGAGTCTCACAGATTAATGGCACTGCGGGTAAAGCGATGGTATTTCATTCAGAAAAATTGGCGATAAAATATGTTCCTGATAGTATTTGGAGTTAATCTTGACATTTTTTTGCACTCTCTTTATTTTTAACTTGCCATTATAAGAAAAACCAGCAACACGTATGAATCCCTTAGAAAAACTTTCTTTCGATTCTTTGAACCAAGTACTTTAATTTTTTCTCCCCTTTTATGATAATAAAGGGCTCTTTTTTTTTGTTACAATCATTTAAATACACCCATGCTTCATCTATTGTGACAATTGTTTTCCATTTTTCTTTGGATAAGTGTTTCTCATATAGAATTCTGCAGCGTGTCCTGCGTTGAGCGATATGCTTTGGAAGAAGACCACATTGCGTTTTTTCGCTTCCTTAAGATTTAAATCAACGTTTATCATTTTGTTTACAGTGCACACGGAGCATTTTAATGATTTTGCAACTGTCCTTTGACTAGGGGAATTTTCTTTTAACATTAAACAACGTACCTTTGCAATAGTCGAAGATGTCCATTTTTTCCTTGGATACTTGTTTGGAATTTTTGTCCCACTTGAGGATTCAATTTGACGTTTTTTTCCTTTCTTGTTGATGATATTACCTATCGACGCTTTAGATATCACAAAACCATGACTCTCGCATCGTTTTTGGATAACGGAGTATGCATATTTCTCTTCGGAAAGAGCGTAAACGTAGCCTTCGAACCACTGCTTTGTTAAATTCGCCATTTTGAATAAAAACAAAACTTTCAAGCCATAGACGAGACGTTTTTGACTTTTAAAAACATAGTACAATTGCAATTACTTCTTTTGCAGCAAACGATGTTTTATTACCGCTTCTAAGTCGTCTAAAAAATGTGGGAACAGCCTCTGTAATGCATAAAATTAATGTAATATGACTGCGAATGTAATTCCTATGTTTCGTGGCATGCTGGCCATTATCGGTGTGAGTGATGGAACGTATTACTCGCTGATACGCCGGCAGTGCTGTAATAATATTTGAAAAGTAATCGGTGTGAATTTTTAGTAAATCAATTACTCATTCTTTAGCAACAGAATTTCGATTAAACAGACATTTGATAGGTAGAAAGAATAGTCTCCAGACACGAAATTTAGTAGAAGTTAATATCATCTTAAAACTTAATTAATAATATCAATGTAAAATTTAATTAACTTAATTAATACCTGTAACCTTACAGAAAATGGCAACAGTAACAAAAAGTCTTAAAACCACTTTTTAATAAAACAACAACTCAACCCTTAGTTCGAGATTCCGCGGACTTTTGCATGAACATAACTTTTCCTCAGGTCTCAGAGGAAATTTTTTTATGTTACTTTTTATTAATTTTGTCATGTAAATTTTTATGCAGTGTTTGTATTTTAACTAAATTTACTTTGTTTAAACGTACAAAATAGTTTTTTTTTTTTTTTTTTTTTTTTTTCAAATTAAAATTTTTTTTTCAGCTACTTCGAATTTTTAGCTAGCCGGTAAATCAACGCTACATATTAAACGAAATTCAAAATATGCGACACTTCGAATTTTTTTCTCATTATGCTAAAGCAATTCTCTTTGATGATCCTTAAATCACAAAATTATGCTACAAACCTTCTTTTATAGGGTCTTTCTAAGCAAAATGATTTTCAGTCACGTGATTTGCTAGAGCATTTAGCTAACAAGCAACTGTATTCTTTTGTGAACCTAATGATCCTTCAGTGAAGTTTTTTCTCATCATGCTAAAGCAGTTCTCATTGATGATCCTTAAATTACAAAATCATGCTGTAAACCTTCTTTTATAGAGCTTTTGCAAGCAAAATTATTTGTATTCTCGTGATTTCCTAGAGCATTTAGCTGTTCCCACAAGCAATTGCATTCTTTAGTGAACAAATGAATGTTTAATCTTTAAAAAAAAAATAAGTATGCTGGACAAAGAAAGTGTAATATTTCTTTTTAATATATTCTTTATATTTAATTTGAAATAAATCAAAAATGAGTTGTTTTGTGTTTTGCATTTTTTATTCTATATTTGAAACTTTAAATATATGAAACAAAAAGAGTATCATCGTTCTAAAATACTGTTTTTATTAAACTTAGGCTGTATTTCAAACTTCAAAGTTCAAGTATCCATAATTATACAGAATCCAAATACCAAGCAGACTCTAAGTATTAATTATTTTTAACAATTTTCTCGGCGCGCGGTGAGAGAACCATCTATCTACTAAAGGCAGAACAAAACTACACTCATGTCCATAAATTAAGGATAATGCAAAATCAAGCAAAGGAAGAGTTAGAAGCAAAACAAATTTGACTTATTTGTAAAGCTTATTTATTAAACAAAAGGTAAAGAGCAAAAACAGATGCTCTATGTCTGATATTATTAAAAAAAATAGCGATTTTTTTCTCCCTGGAGCAAATAAACAAAAAAAAAAAAAAAACTATTTACAAAAACAAAAACAATATTACATGGTTGATATGATTGTTAATACATTGTATGTCTCCCAGACGATGCAATACAGTCCGTACAATGCCTAAGCATGCTGAGTATCAAATTAACGATCTGATCTTGGGGGATATTACACCACTCAAAAAGCAATGCTCTCCGAAGTTCCGGTAGACATGTAGGAGGAGGTTGACGGGCTGCAACTCGTCGACCAAGCATGTCCCACACGTGGTCTACAGGATTCAAGTCCGGCGAGAATGCTGGCCAGTCCATACGGGTGATATCCTCCGATTGAAGGCATTCGCTTACGATGTTTGCACGCTGAGGACGGGCGTTGTCATCCATAAACAGAAATTAGCGCCCATGGCGCCCCGAAACAAACGTACATGTTGTTCCAGAATGCCGTCCCGATAGATTTGGCTTGTCATAGTTCCAATTTGAACATGCAGGTCAGTTCTGGAACCCAGAATAATTCCACCCCAAACGAGCACTCCTGCACCACCGTAACAGTGACATTCAATGATGTTTTCTTGGTGGTAACGGGTAGCTGGAGCTCTCCATATGAAAATCCGGCGAGCGTCAGACTGCAAGCTAAACCTGGACTCGTCGCAAAACATCACACAAGCCCACTGTTGCGGTGTCCACAATGCATGCTCTCTACTCCAGGCTAACCGTAGGCGACGGTGAGTTGCAGTAAGTGGAACGCATCTGACAGGTCTACCAGCATATAGACCAATCTGCCCTAAGCGTCTGTACACGGTCTGCCTTGAAATTATCGTACCAGTGGCTGAAGAGAGCTGACGAGACAGGTCTGAGGGCTGTGCTCCGCCTGTTTCTTTTGGCAGTAACTGCCAAATACCGGTCCTCATTTGGCGTTGTAACTCTGGGGCGACCTGTGCTGTAACGTCTACTCACTTTACCATCATCTTGGAATCGTTGCCAAAGCCTGGAGATGACACTCTGGGCAACTCCAAGTTCGTCTGATACTTCTAGTTGGGTACGCCCACATTCCAGACGGCCGATAATTCTACCACGTAAAAAATCATCCAAATGCGTCCTTTGTGCCATAACTATTTGGTTATTTCACTGAAATGCTTATAAAGCGCCTGCGAACAATTTTACTTCTTTGCCTGTATGCCTTATATATCACTCTCTTACACTCTCGCCACTGTGACGTACCATCGGTGTCATCTGGTTACTTCCTGAAATTTGCATATGATTCTTGAAGATGTGTGTAGTGATTTTACAGGTAATATATTTATTACCTGTAAAATCACTACACACATCTTCTTATAGTTCGCTTTCCGCGTGACTCCGAATTATCCTTAATTTATGGACATGAGTGTATGTAACGTTTTCAGCAAGATATTTGCTGATGAAGAAAAGAAATGTTGCTAAAATTAACTAACACTCATTATGACTTTCAGGTAGAAATACCTGTTTAATTCTCCATTAAAACCATCTAATTTTATGCCTTTATTATTTTACGTGGCATTTTTCTTCCACCAAATATGCGATAAAAATTCGCTTGAATTTAGTTGGTGGCTAAAATGTTCTATATGTGGAAATGAAATGATAGCCTTCTTTAATGCACCCAATAATTTCTGTGTCATTGTTAACTACATGTCTGTCCATATGTATGGAATGGTAGATGTATTTTTAAGTGAAATTCACAAAATAATATTTTGATAAGTAGCATTGTCGGTTATTCAAACCTTTTTAAATAAATTTAAAATTATAATTTTTTTGTAAAATACCTTTTTATTCATAAATCTTAAAAAAAATAAATCATTAAGAAAATTAAAGACAAGATCTTACCGTAAATGTTATGAATTCTCATGAGCAAGTTAAACAAAATTATTTTAATAGCAAACGCCTTTTTATGCTTTGAGTTACTTATTCAAATATTAAAAGCGGCTATCTTACAACCGTAAATAATACTTTTTAGATTAAAATGCCTTTACTTCTAATTTAAACAACTGCTGTATAATAAAATTTAAGATATGCTTTACGACTAATATATTTTTATTACAAAAATTAAATTGTTAAAATATAATTTATTTAAAATTTTGTAAATATTTTATATACGTCTTTTAATAAATTGTTCATTTTAAATCGATAAGAGTAGAAAGAAAATATCTGATAAATAATGAGAATCTCAGTTTTCTTGTATCTAGCACAGCATCACTTACAAACAGCCTTTCTTTGGCAACTTTTTTTTAATCATACATCGATAATTAGAAAGTTATATTTTGCTGTCTTAGCATGCATTGATTTATTTATAAAATAATTTAAAATCTTCTGTTTTCGTTTCAGTTGATACCCAAATATTAGAAACACTCAAGGTAAGTTTAAAATTGTTTTATTATGATAATAAAAGCAACAAATCTAAAATATTTCTGCCTGCTTACGCCTTTAACTTCATACCAAACTAGAATTAAATAAAAATTTAAAAAAAAAGGGATTCAAATTATCATTTTGAATTTATTCAGAGTTTTTCATATCTTCTGCTGCGATAATAATTCCATATGCAAAGCCATGCCATAATACTACTGCTTTGTATCAAAAATCCAGTAAAAATAATAAGGCATAAAACCTGAGTGCCGAAATAAAAGTTATTTAAGTACAAAAAAATTACACTGTTGCTTTAAATTAGCACAGTTCTCCAAACAGGAAAAGCACTTTCTTCCGGATGTTCTCTGTTTGGAGTGTACATGGGCAAAGCCAATGCAGTGCGCAATGCCGAGGCTGTGCGCGATGCCGAGTTTGTGCAATTCTCTGATACACGCTTTTCAGTGTATTGAGTTCATAGTTATTGGAGAGGGAGATCCCTTTTTTGTTAGAAAATTAGTTTGAGATATTTAAGCTAGCGAAATCTGTCTCTGCAAAGTTCTGCATAACTTTTATATATTTTAAATAGCTGCTTGGCACCTACTCACGCTCGCTATCATATACAGCTCTTCAGTTACTACCTTCGGGTGGAATCAGTATGATAAGCTAGCAGTTTTTCGGGCTATCTGAAATTGACACAAATAAAAAGTGAAACTAATAGCCTGTATGAAAGCCAGCTGAAGTATTTTAAAGAAAAATAATGATTCCATTTAATCTTAAAAACAATATCTCATTTTTATTATACTACAATACACTTTTATAATACGTAAGGAACTTTTTCTTTCTTACTGCAAGTCTTCGTAGAATAATTTGATGCAATTCTATCTGGCAATCGGAAGGTTCAGGGTTCGAGTTCCGGTAAGCATATTTCACAAGTGCACGTCTGTGTAGCCACCGAGGGAGTGGCTTCTAGGATGGACCAATGAGCATCCAGTAATATTTCTGTCATGCCACATGACCTTTCGCGTGCTTTAAGATTTAAGCGTGCTTTAAGATTTTGGTTGAAAATATTCTTCCACTCAATTTTCTGTACAAAATAATTAAAGCATCTTCGATTGCTTCTGAAACTTTTCATTGCGAAGTTAGATCAAATATAGGAAATTATGAAGATTTCACCACCTGGTTGAAATAAATACAAACACATGTTGGATACTTCGCAAAAATATCGAGGTGCAATATTACTTAAGTGGTAAATAAGATGAAGAAAGAAATATGTGATAAACATCTGAGCTCAAATGCAATCTTTACATAAAACTATGCGTATGAGAAAAATATTTACACTAATTATATATGTAAATAGAAGTCAGCACTTTTTATTGCAGTCTATATGAAAAAGATGTTCTATAATAATAACCAATGCAGAATTTTAGTCAAAGTGAACTTTACTACTTTGCATTCGTATACATTTAGTGCGTTAAATTTCACATTTAATAAATGCTCACTCTGAAATGTACTGTCTACGCAAGAAATACTTATCGAACAGAGTGAATTTATCGTATTCACAATTAGTATATTCAATTGATTCATATATAATTTTTAATGTTAACAATGGATATAATCATATCAAATTTGTTCTGAATCTTACACTTTAAAAATCAAAAGAATGCAAGCACCGAAATAAGAAAACTCTAGATTCATTGTAACACTTTCAGTCATTCTCAGCTCAATCAAAAAAAATATATACTTGAATTCTCTTAATCCACATAATATGCCGTGAACATCAATCCTAATATTAATACATGATAACAATCGCGAAAGTGAAATGTCCAGCGATTAATCAAACTCAGGAAACGAAAGCACTACGAGATTTTCTACTATTACGCCATATATTTATAACTACGAAACAAATGCAAATTAAAACGTAAACAACATAGGCTCACATGCATGAAGATTTAGCGTCACAAGAGCAATAGCAGCTCATTGGTCCATTTTCGAAACCTCTCTCTCAGTGGCTACGCTGATGTGCACTTGTGAAATATGTTTCCGGTAAGGACATCACTGATTTCTCCAGTTTCATGATTCCGAAAAATTCTAAAAAAAAAAATTTCACAAGTAGCTCCTAAGATAAAATGTGGTGGGCGATAACTCATTGTAACCTGAGTTTCGTGACTAAGCCTTCTTCTCACAAGTCCCTTTCTAAATGAGAAAGAAATGTAAGCAATTTTCTTCTTCTTTACCATGAGTCTTCGTTGTCTAATTGCAAGCTCGTCCGACTAGCAGTGAGGCCCAGATTTCGGATCCAAGTTTTGACGTTTCCTTCTCCGAAATCAACTTAATGGCTCTGTAAATATCCTTTAACGTCTCAAAGTATCCAATTAAATCATTTTTTTTATTTTCAGTAACGTAAATTTATTGAAGAACCCATTTTAAACTAATTGCTGTGTAAACACGAGAAAAATTTTGAATGAAATTTTATAAAAAACACAAACATGTCGTTATTGTTATATTGCTTCTCTGATATAAGAACAAGCCCGCGAAATTCATCGCGGCATCGTGGCATCGCCTCTCGTTGGCAAGAGCCTGGAGCAGCACACAGGTGACTTTGCTCAGTTCCGCTCCCCAATTTTGAAGGAGAACACCACGAGGGGAGTTATTATCATCCGGGAATTGCATCGTTAAAAAAGAGACCCAGAGCTATTCTGGAGAACGCATATAATGTGCTTCCTTTTCCCAAGAGGCGTTGCTATGGAGACAAGGCGCCTCAAAGGTTTCAATACACTCGTTCGCTTCCCCCCCTCGCCTGAGTGAATTCGCTAATCTTTCAGCTTCCCTCAGGGTCACTCTCTCTTTGTCCCGTAATCGGGCAATCTTACTTCTTTCAACCGTAAGCGCTTGTTATTAGGCTCTAACCACATCTTTGTTCCCTTCTTAAAAGGGTTCTAGTGCAAGGATTACTTTATTTATATTTAATCACTTTAACCTTTTAACTGTCATGCCCGAGATTAATCTCGGGCACAGCACTGGTGTTCGAAAATGTCACGCCCGAGTATTATTCGGGGTAATTTTTTTTTTTTTTTTTGAGTGCATCGTATTGTTATACCCGAATATATATCGGGAGACGTTTATTTCGGCTTCATCTCTTTGTCAAACCCGATTGTATATCGGGAAAAGTTAATGTGCGCTCAGTTCAATAGATGACAGCACTTTACTGAAGATTTCAAAGGTTAGAGGTTATTTGGTTCAAGGTGCATGGGATCTTTCTGTTGTAAATAGCCGTCCAGTTTTCTTTGAAACGTTTATATAGATGATTTAAGATTCTTCAACCGAAGATGAAGGATGTGTGTTTGATGAGCAGTATTCATGATACTTCCATGGTCAGCCTCAAAAATAAAAAATGGAGATATACTCAAGCCGAAAATTGTTTCTAATTACGGTCTAACTATGGGTGGTGTAGATCGCTATGATCAGGAAATATCCTTTCATCCAACAATCCGAAAACTTCAGAAAAAATATAATAAAAAGATATTTTTACATTTACTAGATAAGGTACTCTGGAACTCATATTTGCTCTATAAAAATGTAGTTGGGAAACGTATTACATTTTTAGAATTTCGAATCCAAGTTGTAGAAGAGCTTTTAGATAAATATGATGATGCAGCTTCTGGACAAAAGAATGTTGGCGGACCACCTACAATAATAACCCTGCCCATCTACTGAACGAACATTTTATATCCCATTTTCCTCCTATTCCTGCGAACGTGAGCCTACAAGAAAATGCAAAGTGTGTTGTTCGAAAAGGATAAAAATGGGGAAAAGATAAGGAAGAAATCACGATTCTGGTGTAGTGATTGTGGAGTTGGTTTGTGCTTGGAAAAGTGTTTCAGTTGTACCACACAAGACTGAATTACTGAACTACTAATAGATATTCACTTATATTTATTTATGTTTTAGAAAATAATGATTTTTTTTTCATTTTTAGAAAATAATGCTCCACTAGAAGCGAACTTTGCAACTGCCATGTTGAGTGGCAGCCGCCTCAAAGAAAATATGCAGTGGCTACAAAACTTTAAAAATTTTACCCATGTACGTCAAAATATCAATTTTTAACTACTTAAGTATATTTTATTTTGTACTAAACATTTGGTTTTTGGAATAAAAAAATTTGACAATTTGTGTACCCAAATCATCAAAATAACTTGACAGTTAAAGGGTTAAGAGAACTTAATGCTTTTTCAATAGTTATCATAACACAAAGTTAATGCAATCTTATTATATTTATAAAAGTTTCTCCTGAGAGGCATTGCTGGCCGTGTCTCTTTCATTAAAACTCGCCTAACGAGTTCCCGCTTTTCCCCTTCCCCAGACCCGAAGCACTTGCGACATGAAGATTTTCGCGAGTGTTTCCGCTCTCGTGTTGTTAACACATGACGATTGATCAAGGAAACGTAGATGCTTTTCAAAATTCATGATGTAACCTCCTGAAAATTGATTTTGGCCCTTTTCGACACCAGAATTATTAAATTAAGTCCTTTAGTGTCCTTTTATACCTTTTTTCAATGTGGAAGGCAGTTACTCTTTTGTTAATTTAACATTTTCGCATTAAATTTTACCTGTTTGCGGAACCCTCTTTTTGGCGATAAAGATAATTCTTTGACGATGAGGGGATAAAGGCTCCATGCCTAAGAGCCCCGTAATAGAACCCTTCCTCGGTCCTTGGTCGAGGGGAGTGGTTTGATGGTCTCTCACCCCTCTTCTCCTACCACAACCTGTCCAGAAGACTTTCAGCTTGCCGCATATTTTGAGTGCCTTCATGCCGCACAGACCCTATACATTTACAAAAATTCATGCCTTCTCCGAGATTCTAACCTGGGCCCTTCGATACGGCAGTCAGAATCACTAACCATTGTCATGATTTGTTGGCTTACAAACATGTAATTTGTCTAAGATTCCTACTCGCACTTGAATGAAACTATGTAAAAAATCTAGAAGCTTTCAAAAATTGATAAGATAAGAA